ATATATATATATATATATATATTTCAGGTGGCACAGCCCATTGGAGTTGGGCTGCTAACCCAAAAGCTGACTCTTTCGGGTAGTTCAAATCCACCAGTAGCTATATAGGAATAAAAACGACAATTGCCTCTGGTGTAATTCATAACCTCAGAAACCCCACTGCTAATGAGCTAAGAGTTGGTTCTGATCTGAGAGCAATAATATACCCATCTCTAGAGCTATTTCTCAACCCCATTGCCATTGAAGCAATTCCTACTCATATAGACACTACAAGGAAGTGGAGAACTACCCTCCAGAGTTTCTAAGGATGTAGTTGTCACAGAAGCAGAATGACATATCTTTCTCCCATCGGGTGACCTGTGGATTCTTGGCTGTGCAGTTATTGTGCTCAGCGACTGACCAAAAGGTTGGAGGTATGAGTTCACCCAAAGGCACTTTGGAAGCCTGGTTTCCTACTTCCCCAAAATCAGTGATGGAAAAGCTGAGGGGAGATAATTCTGCTCTGACACACGTGGACCACCATGAGTCAGAGTCAATGGCAGCTGACCATGATGGATATAGAAAGTAGCTGCAAATAACACCAGCATGACCACTACCAGATCCCTGAGTAAACATCACGGCCTCCTGGCTGTGCTTTCTCCTTAGAACATATTCAGTTAAGGACAGGCAGTCAATGCACTATATTATAAATAAAGTGACTTGACACATTTACTTTCTTTGTAAATTCTTGTTACTAACTTATATAGAGGCAGCTCCTTCTTTAGCTTCTGCTGATTTGTTTGTTTTGTCTTCAAGCACTGTTCTTTTTTTTATTTGTTAGAATCTGCAAAACTGTGTACTTTCAAAGACTAACACATAGCAAGATATATTTTTAAAAGCCTCCTTCCATCCCTGGCCCCTCTAACCTGCACCCTCCCTCCCATTTCCCCTGCGGCACTACTTTTTACTAGTTTTTCATTTGTCCTTCCAGAGTTTTCTTCTGAAAATGTGGGCAAATATTCTCCCTTTCTAAAAAACGGTAGCACCTTTCTTTCTTTACTTGACCATTTCATTGTGGAGAATATTCTGTGTCTATTTATAGAGACCTTCACTTACGCTTGCAGTTGTATAGAATCCCAGTATGTGTACCATTCAGGTATTCAACGTGTCCCCTATTTATTGTTGTTTTCTAATATTTCAGAAACCAAGATTTTTAACCATTAGAAAATGCCACCGTGGAAAGTCATGTAGCATAACTATAATGTGCTTTCAAAGAAAATCCTTCCCTCATTTGATTCTTTCACCTTGGAACTTAATAGCTCTCATGTCTTAGAGAAACCACTAAACTCTCCTAATAGCTATTTCCTCATGTAAATGTGGGTCATAAATTTTATTTTGCAGAATATTAGTGAAATTGAAATGATACGATGTTTCTGAAAATGTCCAGCAAACAGATCTGAGACATACTAGGTAGTCAGTAAATGGTAATTTATAAATATTCTCTGTTTTTATCTCCGTTGAAACTACCACTTGAAGAGAACACTCAGCCTTTTTCTGACTGATTTTACTCACTATTTTGCCTTTAGACCTTGTGAAAATCCTAGGGAATGCATTATCAGGCCCCATTTTAAATACAAGGGAAATTGAACTTTCCCATGTCAGTTCAGTTCCTTAAAGGGAAGAGACCACGATGGGGAGAGAGCTGTCAAGGAAGAAGAATAAGGCTCTGCCATTGAAGGCCAACCTCAAACCTAGGGACGAGAGTCCCAGAAGCATGTATTCCTTGCTTTCACGTCTCTGTAGGCCCTTTGTGGAGATTAGGAACCAGCCACTACATGAAGATGCCTCATGCCAAGCAAGTCAGAGCTCTCTGAAGACAGAACAGCTTATCTCACTGAATAGTTAGCTCTCCTGCCCTGCTTCTGTGCAGTCTGAGACCTGGTCACTCTAACTCAAGACCCCACTGAAAGTCATCAGAAAGGAGGAACACCACAGCCCACTTGAGATTGAATCTTTCACAAAGGCTTGACTGCTCCCTCCTTACGAGGTACATAAAATCCAGTAGGCCATCAGTTGACATCAAGTTGAGGCTAACACACAGCAAACTCAAGTGTTGTAGAGCAGAACTGCTCCACAGGGATTTCAAGTCTTTGAACTTTCAGAAGCAGAGCATCAGGCCTTTCTTTCAAACCACGTAAGGGTGGGTTTAAACCTAAGTGATAGTTAGCTGCCCGGTGCTTAGTTATTTGGACCACCCAGGGATTCCTACAAGACATCTGCTCCATTTTCAACAGTCTGTTGTGTGCCGTCAAGTTGGAACTGACCAATACTTGATCTTCCAGTAGGTTTTCAGAGGCAGTAAATCACACAGGAAGACTGCTCATCCTTGTGTGGAGCAGTTGGTGGACCCAAACCATGTGCCCTTGGGATCACAGGGTAGCTTGTTACCACTGGGCCACCAGAGCTCCCTTAAGCTGTAGGAATCATGCCCTACCTATGGATACCAACTGTCAGAAGACATTGTCAAGTATTTCAAGTATTCCAGCTGGCCCAAGGCCCTTACCTTATAAACAAATCCCTCTGGGCAGCTGTGGTCATAGGTGAAGGCTTTGTAAACCACCAGGAACACAATGCAGGCGAGGAAAGCTAGGGCCAGGCTGACAAGGATGGTGACCTGGGAGAAAACAGAATTCAGAGTTGTCAGCCATAGCATTTCCACCTTCCAGCCTGGATGCAACCTTGGGGACAGAGAGCAGAGGCAGAGGATGTGTTAGACAGAGTGAGAGGCTGGGGTCCAAGGGACTGGCTGCCTTACTTTTTCACTAACTAATAGTATGATCTTGAAGAAGTTACCTCCACTATTTAGGCCTCAGTTTCCACCTGCAGGATACTATCTAGAGCTCCTCCATGACCCGACACATAATTTCCCCTCCTCATTTGACTTTTCCTGCTAATTGGAGGTACCTGGTGGGGAGTGATTATTAAACTATTACTAGCCTCCATCCCCATCCCCTGCCCTCCATCACTGAATCCTGATTTCAGATTATTTCTAACTGCTTATTTCACCTTGACTTTGACACCTCTCAGGTAATTGAAGCACCATATTCCCAAACTGAATTCCTATTCCCCTCCCCCAAACTTGCTGCAGCATCTTCTCCGTCTCAGGAGAAGAAATTCTAACTAGGTCTGGAGTCACTCAGATCAAAACCTTTGCAGGCATCTTCTCCCATTCTACACCCCATCTACACGTAGAGTCTATCATTGCTTCATTCATAATGCCCCCGAAGCCTGACCACTTCTTAGCACCATGGTCTGGGTCTCCATCATCCCTCAGTTGCATATTGGCAGGGCCTTTTAACTACACCATTTTGTGCACCTGTTGGTGCAAGTAAGAACCCTTTAAAAGAAAGGCATTAACGTTACTTCTCATCTCAAAACGATGCAATGGTCCCGAACATACACAGAGTAAAAGTCAAGCTCCTAATTATTATCTACAAACCAGCATTTAAAAAAAAAAAAAAGAAAGAAAAAAGAGCACAGCATCAAACAAATTGGCGGGCACCATGCATATTCACTCTATTAGAAAGGCGTAAACTCTTCATTTTCAAAGTGCCTGTAAGTTTTACTTGTCCCAGCCCATAGCCAATGTACAATATGATACAGTAACTTATGATATTGGCCACCAAATGTTGGAAGCTGAAATTTTTCAATGTTATTTTTAAGAGCTAGTGGCATGTTAGTCAGTTGGCCTACAAAACATTAACAGAATTCTTCTCATGGAAAGAAGCTTACTTTCTTTTTGGACCATTTAAGAAAAAAACCCAAACATTTTTATCATTTATATATATATTGTATTTCATGCATGTGCATTGTGTTTCATATAACATTTCATTTACGTTCTATTTCATTCATGTATATTGTGAGGTTTCCCCTTAAAATCATCTTACCAATAACTTGTTGTTTGTTGTATACTTTAGAATCAGAATTGACCAATAGCTAACTTTCCAGTGGGTTTTGAGAGGCAGTTAATTGCATGGGAGAAGATTGCCATCCTTCTCCCACAGAACAACTGGTGGCCTCAAACTGTATGCCTTCAGGATCGAAGCACAGCTTCTTACCACTAGACCACCAAGCTACATTTGTGAAAGTGTGTAAGCTAGCTACTACATGCAACATGCCCTAATACCCTCCTTTTGGATAGCCAATTTCTGGTTTGCTTATTCATATAAAACAAGAGTTCTGAGGGAACAAACATGTCCCTTTTGCTGAAGATTCTCTATTCAACTCTGCTCAAAGTCCATTCCAAAAAAAGCCATCAGATTACAGCAATCAACCCTAGTTCACAGCATGGATCATATTTCTCTTTATCTGCTTGGGTTCTGGTCAACTCCTACCCAGCCATTATGGCTAGGTTCAAATGGGCATGAAGCTTTCTTTTGATTGAGAAGAAGAGAAAATCTTATGGGAATTCATTCCATTTCCTTCACATCCCAACCAAGGCAGAAGAGAAGAGAGGAAAGGAAAGAAGAGAGGAAGAGACAGCAGCTCCATTTCTTCAAAATCACGAATTGTTGATAGCTTTCAATCCTACCAAAGGATGAGAGGGTTTTGAAAATTAAAAAAAAAAGATGGATGTGGGCAGACATTGGGCCAAATACTACAGAAAGATGATGTTGTTGTCGTTGTTGTTATGTGCCGTCGAGTCGTTTCCGACTCATAGCGACCCTATGCACAACAGCCTATCTATCCTATCTATCCAGCACACAACCCTGCTCTATCCTGCGCCAACCGCACCGCCTCTGACACACCCATCCCAATTACCCCAGTCATCGAATCAATCCATCTCATAGAGGGTCTTACCCTCCTGCGCTGTCTCTCCACCCTCCCAAGCATGATGTCCCTCTCCAAGGACCCGTCCCTCCTGGCAACATGTCCAAAGTATGTCAGATGAAGCCCCAGAATCCTTGCCTCCAAGGAGTAGCTTGGTTTAATCCTCTCCAAGATATATCTGTTTGTCTCCCTGGCAGTCCAGGGTACATTCAGTACCCTTCTCCAGCACCACAGCTCAAAAGCATCCACTCTCCTTCTGTCCTCCCTAGTCATTGTCCAACTCTCTGATGCATAACAAGCGATTGCAAATACCATGGCCTGTATCAGGCGCACCTTAGTCTCCAGAGAGACACTGTTGCTCCTGAGTACCTTAGAGAGGTCCCTAACAGCAGACTTTCCCATTGCGATACGCTTTTTGATTTCCTGACTGCTGGTGCCAAGAGTGTTGACTGTGGAGCTGAGCAAACTGAAGCTGTGAACACTCTCAACCTCTTCGTCATCCATCTTGATGCTGCCAATTGGTCCAGTGGCGAGAATCTTTGTCTTCCTGACATTGAGCCTTAGTCCATACTGAAGGCTTCAGTCCTTGACCCTTCACAGCAAGTGCATGAGGTCCTCCTCAGTTTCAGCAAGCAAGGTTGTGTAATCTTCATAACAGAGATTGTTAATAGACCTTCCACCAATCCTGATGCCACAATTCTCCTCATAGAGCCCAGCCTCTTGGATAATCTGCTCTGCATACATGTTGAAAAGGTATGGAGACAGGATGCATCCCTGGCGTACACCCTTCCCAATTTTGAACCATGCAGTGTTACCCTGCTCTGTTCTGACTACTGCCTCTTGGTCCAAGTATAGGTTTTGCATTAGCACAATTAAATGTTCTGGGATTCCCATTCTTCTCAGAGTCAGCCACAGTTTGTTATGATCCACACAGTCAAATGCCTTTGCATATTCAATGAAACACAGATAGACATTCTTCTGGTATTCCTTGCTTTCAGCCAAGATCCGTCTAACATCAGCAACAATATCCCTAGTACCACGACCCTTTCTAAACCCAGCCTGGACTTCCGGCAATTCTCTGCTGATGTGCTGTTCTAATCGTTTTTGGATAATCTTCAGTAGAATCTTGCTTGCATGTGAAATCAATGACACTGTTCTGTAGTTTCCACACTCAGTTGGGTCACCTTTCTTTGGAATGGGAACAAATATAGATCTCTTCCAGTCAGTTGGCCAAGTGGTTGTTCTCCAGATTTCTTGGCACAACTTGGTGAGCACATCCAGGGCAACATCTGTTATCTGAAATACTTCAATTGGTATACCATCTATTCCTGGGGCCTTAGAAAGATGATACCTGTGGTAAATTCTCTCTCTCTCTCTGTGTGTGTGTGTGTGTTTGTGTGTGTGTGTGTAAGGGGCGGGGAGAGAGAGAGAGAGAAATTTTAAACAGTTCCCAACACAAGAGCTCTCCATCAACCTCAACCCTTAGTATAAACCTGTGGCTTGCCCTCACTCACCAAAGGGAGACAGTGAAGGCATGGAGTGAGGGGTATAGAGAGCAGACTGTTAACCCAGGGAAGACATGCAGCCAAAATGGGCAAGTCAATGGCAAGAGAGCTAAGACACACCAAGCCCTATGAGCCCTAATGAGCATCTTCATATAGCATAGGAAAGATTCACCCAAGACCACTAAGTACTCATGCTGGAGGACTAGGGACACCTGGCCAGGGGATGTTGGGATGCAAACATATAAAACCTAAAAATCCCATATTCCACAATTGCCAAAATGGCAACCATCCATGGATAAAAAAATTCAAGACATGCATACAATGGACTGTTATTCAGCCCTATGAAGAATACTGTTTTGATACATATCTCAATGTGGATAGACCTTGAAAAGCTCCTAAGAAGGCAGATACAAGTCTGTATGCTGAATGATTCTATTTACATGAAAAATCCAGAAGAAGTGGATCCACAGAGACAGCACAGATTGGTGGTTGTCAGGGGATGGGGAAGGCAAAACCAGAGAGGGACTGCTTCATGGCTACCGTTCGCTCTGAGACTGATTAAGAGGTTTTGGAACTCGACAGAAGTGGTGATTGTACAACGTTGTGAGTGTATTAAATGCCACTGAATTTTTCACTTGAAAGTAGTTTCTTTTCTATTATGTGAATTTCACCTCAATTAAAAAACGAAATGCCAGAGCCTGAACAGCAGCAGCCTGGCGCCCACAGCTCTACCAAGAAGTGAACGGAGTTTTTTCAAGGATGACTATTCCTGTCAAAAGCAGCCTCATAGCCCTGCTCGCACCCCCTCACCTTGCAGGGAACACAGTGGGATGCAGCTGGGACATCGCCACCCCTGAGACTGGAATACAGGCTTAGCCAGAGATGTGGGGTGAAAAGGATATGGCTACAGACGGTGGTTGTCCAAGGACCCAATCAGCCACCCAGGCCTACGCTTGTGCCTGGGGAGCCCCCATAAGGCTTCCCACCCTAACCATTAGGAGTCACTCCCACCGCTAGCTAATCAAAGGCCAAGATTCTTAGCAATCTCAGAAACGGACCTCCAGCATCCTCATAACCAGATCGGGATGCTTCCAGTGGGTGGGATAGAGGTGCTGGGCGTAGGAGCTGGTGTCAGGCCAGATGCCTGTCTGTGGGACAAGTTCCCCTAATCAGGTGGACACTTACACACGAATGGGCCCCACTTTATAACCTCCAGCCAGGTGAGACGGGCTCTGAATCACCACAGGGTCTCCAGAGCATGATAGAGTGGTATGCACAGTGTGGATTTTCAGCCAGTGTTTCTGCGAAGTAGGGGAGGAGTGGGGAATGGGAGGGAAGA